CTAGTCATAAAAAAAACATGTAAAGTTACTATTTATCATTTTTAAAATGAAGTCAATCCTTGAAAAAAATAAGAAAGTATTCTTATTAATTTTTATTTAATTTCATTCTTGATATAAAGTTACTATTTTTAGACATTTTAAGGTTTTTTTTAAACTATTTTTAATTTTTTAAAAAGTAACACTTTTTGATAATACTTAAATAAGATTTAAAGTCATTTAAAGCAATAAAAATAATTTAAATTAATAAGTGAAAATTATAATCTCATTTGAAAAATGTAATAAGAGTAAATACTAAGTCTCACTGAGACAGTATAAGACTACTATCTAATGTTAAAACTGTGTAATGAGATTAGTTAAATTGATAATAAGACTATTAAAAAATCTGGTCCTGATCTCAGACACAGTCACACAGTCAGTCTACTTGTAGTATCTTAGTAGTATTCTGATAATAATATTTATTAATTACATGATTACTGAGTAGTATCATGATAATATTAGAAAGTTCTGCACTGTCTTAACATCATCTTGATATTTAATATTCAGTGACATGTTACTGAATATAATGATGAAACATGTGTTACAATCAGCGACACGTGACACGGGTGGAATGGTGGATCCACAGTGTGATCACTGTAAATTAACCCTACGTTCTTCCCGTGTGGTATGAACGAACAAGGCCTCTCTTCGGTACGGAACATTATAAGTTCCAGGGCTGAACCTGCCAGAAAAACCCTCGTAATCGCTCACCCGCCTAGGAGATAAAGTGTGAATGTTGCTCCGAAAAGTGAACCCCATGCTCAAGGTTTGGTTGAAAATTATTAGCCATCCGCCTGTAAGCAATCTCTGCATTCATGTAATATACATTCCAAGTTAGAAGGCTTTGTTGAATGCTGTAAAGCATGAGAATGTATTCACACCAGGCTTGATATGCTTTTATGGGACCATGAAAACCCGTGGCTCGTCATCTCTTCTCCATGGAATGCGTACAAGATCTCTTCATCTGATTTTCCCACGCCGGCATCGCCCACTTCACAGTGTACTCAAATGTTAAGAGCTGTTCGGCGGTCGGTCTCTGGGTCGGTTCAAATGACAACATTGCCCGAAAAAGACACTCTAATGCATTAAACTCGCCGCCAGGAACGTCCCACTCACAGGTGTCTGGTGTGTCGCCACGGCCCATATCCCAGATGCGCTTCGGAAGGCGTCGGAAAATAGGGTCACAAATACGCCGAAAATCGGTGACCCATGAACCATCCGCCTCGAAGAATTCAGAGCGCTTGGCCCAAGTGTTCCACCACCTCTGGGGTGGTAGCCCAAGCGTATTGATCATCTCCGCGATAATATCGTCTGGGTCCCAAGCGAAAGTTTCGAAAAGTGGACGCTCGCCCATGGCGTCATATAAATTAACCCCAAGCGTCCATATGTCGGCTGCTGTGGGTTTAGTGATGGTTTCGTTGAAGAATTCCTCCGGCGGCGCGTAAAGGATCGGTGTGTGAAGCGTCGGAGAGGGTGTTTGGGATATAATGAACGATGTCCCGTAATCAGATATGACAATCTCTGGTTCTGCAATTTCATTTGCAGGCATATTCCAAGCCATGCAATTAATGGCATGTGGAGGTGCGTGTGGCTTGTTAGGTTTCCCGTCCAGTCGTCGAATTGGAGCCTCGTACGGCTTTCCAAAACGCTTGTATAAATCATCCGCACTCAAACTATCGAAGTTTGGGACACGCAAGAGTAAGTTATGTAGATGAAGATCTGTTCTGCATAAGTATCTGCAGTCAAAAATTTAGGATTCTACCATCGATTTCATTTACCTCCGTGGCATACACCATTTGCATGTAAATAAGACACTCCCATAAAGCACTGAGCAGCAATCGACCTTGCCGCATCCCGTGGAAACATGAGATTCGTACTATCTTCCTTAGATTTAGCCAAGCTACAACCAGCAGGCTCTCCGACCAAACACCGATGGTGTCCGTTGGGACCTTCGAAAGAGAATCGGTCCAACAGGTAAGGAACAAATCTCTTCCCAGGGTGGGTCGAGTCACCCTTCGCTAATATTTGAAGTATTTCATCCTCACGACTTTCTCGTGATGCTTCTGCAGTCAGTATTTTCAGGGATACATATCGTTGGTTTCGTCGGTCTCGTGCAAGCCAGATAGTTGAGTAGCCGCCGAAGCCAAGCTTGTGGACCACAGTGTAGCGTCCCTCACAAAATGTGTCGCCGATAAGGGTTGGGTGGAATCCGCCATGCGTATACCCTTCAAAATCTTCCAGATCTACCCCCGGATGGTATATATTCTGAGCGGATGGTGGGGATGTGGAGCGAGCCATGGACGTGTGACCCCTATGTAGAGACGTAGCCAAAGTCAATGAAAACCTGTGAAGCCTGTGCTGGTTTTGTGTAAATTGGAATAAGAAAAATTTCAATCCGCTGATAGGAAAGTGTCTGTGGCTGGAGATCATGATGTCGCATTTAGGGAATCGGCGATGGAAAGCGAAAATCTGAAATGGCCTTTCTTAGCACTAGCCACCTACGTAACGCTTCTTATCTGTTGGGGGTCCCGCGGTTGGTCGGCCCTTCTACCAGCAGGCGCTGGTGGTGATTGAGCTCTTTTGTCCCAGTAGCCTACAGATTATGAGACTGTTAAGCATGAGCCCTGCTGTGATCAACATGCATGAGTTCAATCTCAGAATGAACTTAAAAATTCCTAATAAATATCCTGGACATTTTAACAGTGCTAAGAGATATTCCAGGAGTGTGCTCTAGAAGTCCTGTGAGTCCTAGGACTGACTGAGTCCATTATTAAAAAGAAGTCATTGTGAGGAGATCACTGAAGAGAGTCACTGAGAGGAAGTACTGTACTCTGTGATAGCTGGTCTGAGGGGGGGTGTTGAGGATCCTGCAGTTGGTCGGCCCTTCTACCAGCAGGCGCTGGTGGTGATTGAGCTCTTTTGCCCCAGTAGCCAATTCAATATGTATACAGAAAACTTGACCTCGCTAAGTGCGCCACTTGACCTCGTTATATAAGCTGACCTCGCAAATGTGGCCCGTGCCACTACCTGACCTCACTCAATACATATTTTCTTGTAATTTGAAACCACTCAATTATTTACCATCAATTCTACAGTCAATTCAAAATCAATTTAAAATCAATTCAAAATCAATTTAAAATCAATTTAATAATAAAGTAAGTATTTATATAATTTACACTGAATTGATTATTAATTGATTTTCAATCAATTGTTAATTACTTTAATATATAGATTGAATTTATTTTTATTACTATAATTAATTAATAATCAATTCTATAATCAATTCAAAATCAATTTAAAATAAATTTAATACTGAAATTATTCTTGAATTTAATAATAAAGTAAGTATTTATATAATTTACACTGAATTGATTATTAATTGATTTTCAATCAATTATTAATTACTTAAATATATAGATTGAATTTATTTTTATTACTATAATTAATTAATAATCAATTTAAAATCAATTTAAAATTAATTATTAAATATTTTTATCTTAATATATTTTAAAATTCTGTAAAACATCTCTTTATATTCTATATAAATTTATCTATTTATTTAATTGATTATGAATCAGTTTAAAGTTATACATGCTTTTTGATTGATTGATAAGCTGAGTGAATGAATGGATTGAAAGATTGAAAGTCAATTACCAACTGATTATTACTGTATTGTGCGAGGTCAGGGTCATGATTATGTAATGAGGTCAATTGTAAACACTTAGCAGGTCAAGTTTTCTGCTTCCTGAAATTGATCCTTTCTCTTCCTTGACGCATTTTACACAGCAAAAACAAAGTGCGGTGCTATGATACATGGTACCAATCAAGGCAATCCTTGGATGTGTCCAATTCACCCTGCATCGCCACCAATAACTAGTCGGTATCATGCGAGTGAATGCAAGCCCCGCTGCGTCTCATTGTTTTCAGGACGGGGTATTTTAACCCTCCCCAATCCTCCTCACCCCCGCCGTATTCATCTATTGATTTCGTACAGTTTGCTCTCCAGTTGCTTAACGTCAGATAGCTATGGCTTCGCAGACAATAGAGTATATATGGAAGATCGCTCGGCCCAAAAACGAAACTATCGCTCGAGCGCTAATGCATGCTGCATATGAAACAGCTATCCAAACAGACCCAAATACCACCAGAGTCCTCATTCGGTAAGTTAAATCAACTCAAAAATAGAATCAGTAAAGCTTATTTCCCCGCCATAGTTCCTACATCCATCCGTCAACTCGAACCAGGGGCAAATATGTCAAAGATGAGCCGCATATCACAGTGGCTGTGAAAAACCCACAGCTATCCCTAAATAAGCAGCACCGGTCCAACCATGGATATACTCCGCATATCCGTTCATTCGATGTGACGAGAGTTTCACCCGCCGACGGGCTTACAAATGACGGTGCTAGATCAGCATGGCCAGATTCAGTGGAAACAAAGGTCAAGGAAACTATTGCTGGGCCACCTGCCGTCTTGGGACCGAAGAGCCAATTTATTACCTGGCCTTCTGAAGAGACGGGGGAATAGGCTGGAAAGGTCTCTTTTTTATCAGAAATGCGAGCCAACCTTTCCGTCATTGCCTATCCACTTGCTATGCAGATCGCAATAGGGCAATAGCTGTCTGAAAATCAAGTAACCGTGCCATGCTTACTCACTCTCTGTAGTGAGTGCGCCACAGTGTACAGAAAACCACACTGTACAGAAAATATTTTCAATATCTTCATTCTTCATCTTCAAATAATTATTATTAATTATAATCATGTCTAAATCTTCTAATTACACTGAGAAGCAGTTGCAAAGAGCTGTTGACATGTATAAAAGTAATTCAAAATTAAAAATCACATCTTTGTTATGAGAATTCAAAGTCTTATATATTATCTTATATAAGAGAATCAACAGAAAGAAATTAAGAACTATAAGAGTTTCACTGAATTGAGTATTGAATAACAGTTAGAAAGAGACAATTAAGATATAAATTCATCAATTAAATGTTAATTTTTACTCACTTATTATCAAGTATATTAAAGCTGCTATAAACTATATATTAAGATAGTATTATACAGATTCAGAGACTATATCTCTTATAGTAAGTAAAATATAAATATATTAATTCATTAAATATCTATCAGATTATAAATCAGTTAAATAAAAACTCATAAATTTAAAATAAGTGTCTTATAAGAATATAAGCTTTATTATTAATTAATTTAATTAATATAAAGCTGTCTTTAATTAATATTAATTTTTTCACTGTGATATCTATAACTTTGATAAGATTGAATTTCAAGAAGAAGAAGAATATAAATAATAAGTTATAACTATCTTTAAAGATATAAGTTCTATTATACAGTTATCATACTTCTGCAGATTAATAACAGTGATAAAGTATATTAATACAGATAATACAGTATTGAATTTATTAATTATTATTATACTTTCAGCTGTGTTAAGACTCTGTTACAGTTTCACACAGCTTATTACTTTTATACAGATAATTTTATCTTATTTAAATTAGTTATTAACTACTTTATAACATTATTCAGATATATCATAAAAAGATTCAATTAATAAATATAAAAACTCTACTTCTATATAAGATTAGCAGATTACTCTTTCTTAATAGTAAGACACTACTGAGATATCACTTCAGCTATTCTCACTCATGAAATAAGAGAAGAGTATTCACTTATTATTTATATCAAATAGCTAGATACTGACTTCTTATTTAAGAAGTCAGTAATTCATTTTTCTTCTACTGAAATATATATAAGAGTTACTATGTTTCTTATATAATCTTCTTAATATACTAAGTATTATATCTGTGATATTCTTACAATAACTCTGTAGTCTATAAGCTCACTATTTAAGTAAGATAGTTAAGCTCACTTATACAGCTTCTTAAATAACTATCTCTATATAATATCACTGACTAGTTACTGTTTTTATTCTATTATATTATAATTTAAATCACTTTATCTAATTATAAGTTTAAATTAGTTGAGCTCTAATAGACTAATATAATCTTATATACTTATACTGAAACTGATTTAATCTCACTCTCTGAGAGAAACTTTATATTATTCTTTAGAGTATGTATATCTTTACTTTAATAGAAATTCAAGATTTCTGAACTTATTGTATATTTTAATATAAGCTTTTTAATTACTTTATTATCACTGCAGTCTCTACACATCTACATTTATTATAAAGATAGAGAGATTAAGATCAGAGATTCTCTGAGATATAAAAGAAATATATTATCTGAATTTTACAGCTTTATCTATACTCTTGAACAGAAATTCTGCCTTAATCTGAGTCAGTTTAATACTTATAAGATATAAGTAATCTACACTGTCAATCTTCTTGAAGATATCTCTGCAACTACTTAAATTGCTAAGAAGAGAGAGCTTAAGTATATTAATACTGTAATAACTTAAGAAGAATTCAAGAACTTTTTACTGAATCAAATCAAAGACTACTATAACTGTAGCTTCATAGTAACACAGTAGTTTAACTTATTATATTAACAAGATAATAAGAATTCTTCTGATTTTAATATAAGATTTGAAGAATATTAAGAGAAATTAATTAATGATTTCAATTAATTAAAAACACAGCTTTATCTCATAAAGCTGACTTATAAGATATAGATAATAATATCACAGTATCAGAGTTCATTAATCAATTATAATAAGCTTGTTAACTTGACTTTTTAAATCTATTTAAATAATTAATTCTCTGAGAAAAAGATTAATAAGATCACTTCTAAGTAATTAATAATAGAATCTAAACAGCACTGTAATAGCTTCAGTGTAAAAAAAGTAAAGAAGAATTTTAAGTATTCTGATTCTTTACTCACTATAAAGAAATATTAAAAAAGATTTAATAAAAATCTCTATTTTAACTGTAAAGCTGATAATCACTATACTAGTAATTATAAGAAGCTGAAGAAGAAAAGAAACTAAGAAGATATCTTCTCAAAGTTAACTTCTCTTCTGACAAATGTATTCATAAAAGAGAAAGAAAAAGAATTAAAGAATTAATAATTCTTATATCTCTGAGTTTATATTACAATTATAATAAATACTCTAAATAAGAAGATATTAATAAGATATCTACTTAACTTCAGAGTAGATATTAACTATATATTTTATTTCTTTTCTTTGATAAAGAGTTGAAAGAAGATAGACTTATTAAATTATATAAAATTTACTAATGAAATAAAATGCCACTGTTTTAATATAATTCAAGTGAAGTATATAATCACAGACTCAGAAGAAATCTTTAAGAAGAGTAGTCTACTTCTTTATATAGTTAATATTATAGATAAGAATGTTATTCTAGATCTTCTGTAATTAAGAGAAAACAATTCTCTCATTAACTGAGTTACTCAGATATAATAGTATTATCTTATTAATAAAGAGATAGTAATAGAGAAATCTGAAGAGTTTTATCAGAAGAATCTTGAGAAAAAGATAGAGTTAATATACTATATAGTAGATAACTGAGACTTGAAAATAGAAGAAGAAGTTATCACTCTTACTACAAGACTAGCAGCAGTATTCATTATTAAAGATGAATATATATAATATCTCTTTACAGATTATAAGAATGTCTTTTTAAAAAGAGAAGTAGTGAAGTTTTCTAATACTAAGATATAATATAAGATTTATCTTGAAGATGATGTAATAGCACTATACAGACTTCTTTACAACTTGTTTATAAAGAAATCAAATATTCTGTGCAAATATCTTGAGAAAGCATAATTAAAGAACTGAATATACTTATTAAAGAGTTTAGCAGAGACATCTATACTCTTTATACTCAAGAAAAATAGTAGGCTACATCTATACATAGACTACAGAGATCTTAATAAGATGATAGTTAAGAATCACTATTTATTATTATTAATTAATAAGATGATTGATTAATTATCTGAAGCAAAAATATTCTCAAAGATTGATATACAGAATATCTATCATAGAATCAGAGTTAATAAAGACAATGTTTGAAAAACAGCTTTTTATACTAAGTACAGTAATTTTGAATATCTTATTTTATCTTTTAATCTTTGTAATACTTCAGTCATCTTTTAAATCTATATAAATGAGATACTGCAGAGCCTTGTCAATATCTTTTATATAGTATACTTAGACAACATTCTAATCTTCTCAAAAACAGGAAAAGAATATAATACTTATATTCAAAAAGTGTTAAGTTACTTAAGACAGTATTAACTCTATATAAACACTGAAAAATGCTCATTCTACATGCAGGAGATTGATTTCTTAGATTATATTATTAAGATAAAGAGCATTTCAATGAATAAAAGCTAAGTCTTCATTATTAAGAACTGATCAGTGTTATAAATATACTGTGAGATATAGATGTTTGTAGAATTGATAAATTTCTATAGATGATTTATCTATATATATTTATAAATTACTATCTCTCTTATAGATCTGTTAAAGAAAAGTATAAAAGACAGAAAAATGAGACTGTTTACTTTTACTCAAGACACTGCACAGACATTTGCAGAAGTAAAACAAGCTTTTACAGATATTACAATACTGAATCACTTTAATCTTAACTTATTCAGTTAGTGTGAGACTGATGTATTCAGAAATGAAATCTGTAAAATCTTTTCACAGTTGACATTAAAGATCTTTCAATATTAAAAGAATCAGAGAATAATAATTTCTGAAGATATAAATAATAAAATATCTATAAAAGAAGACCTTTTCATAGAGTCTATAGAACACTGTGAATAAAGATTAGTAATCTTCTTCTTTAAGAAATTATCACTTATACAGAGAAGATATAATACTTATAATTAAGAGATATTAGTAATTGTTGAATTCTTCAAGATCTGATGATATTATCTTTAAAATAGTAAATACTCAGTACAAGTTCTCACTAATTATGTAAATCTATATTACTTCTTGACAACAAAGAGCTTGATAGAATGTTAAGTCAGATAAGTGAAGCTGCTTTCAGAGTATGATTTCTATATCTAATACTGTTCAGATTAGCTTAACTTCACTAATATACTATTTAAACAGTTTAATTATAATATTATTAATATGAAGAAGAATTCTATAAAAGAATCTCTGTTATCACTGCAGAAGAAGTTAACTGCAGAGAGTTAAAGTTCTCTGAAGCTTGAGAACAGTACTGATAAGACAGCTATATAATTCAGTATAAAAGATAAAAGAAAACTCAGATCTCTGCAGAGAACTGACACTGAAGATTATAAGCTTCTTATATTATATCTTACTATTATTAAATTGACAAGCCCCGGTGGCTGAATGGTTAATGCGGCCACCCGGTAGCACCTTGGTGTGGGAAACCAAGGCGCGTGGGTTCGAAACCCGCAGGAAATACATTAAATCTGGAACTCAAGCACCTCAGGTTTCTAATAAATACAGAGGTGTATAAATCACTTCAATGAATTGCTCTATGTTCCTGAGCTGGGAAGTTATTATCGTATGTATCTAATTATCACTCCTTTGTATTTTCCTATGTTCTTGTTATCTTGGTGTGGTCTCAACACCTGTATTTCCTCCTGTATAATCAACACTTGACCTGTATTTAACATCACGCAAGGACTCATCATAAGCTCTGCTTGCATATGAGTATAATGAAAGAATAATAATAATAATAATAATTAAATTGACAAAGAATGAAATAGTCTATAATCTTTCAATCTGACTACTTTTAAAATTCATTAATAAGTTATAGAAGAAG